TGTAGGTAAGTACCGGGAATTCCACCGGCTCTACGGAGAGAAGCGTTTCTCTGAAGCTGCCAAGTTGCTCTTGATGTTGATGACGGCTCACATTGCTCCTTGCTCCTTCTGGATGACCCTGCTGACAGACGCCCTTCCCCTGCTGGAGCAGAAAGAGGTGAGCAGGCTCGGCATGCGTAACAAAGCCCCCCCACACCATTTATTTTCCTCCTTAACAAGGTATCTCAAAGTGGTGACCCCCCCCTTTCTGTCCCCAAGCGAGGACTTGCACTTCCAGTGCAAAAGAACTGTTTGTGGCAGCTCCAGAAGGGCACAGCCATCCCAGTGTCCTATGGGTGGGGACACACAGGGCCCAGGATGGGATAACTGACTCTTAACTTGGATCCCTGCTTTTAGAGAACAGCAGTGGAATATGTCTGTGCTGATCATTTAAGTACACGCTGCAACCAGTTCCTTCTGGTACTTGGCTTGAAGATTTTTCTAGGGTGTTTCCTTCTTCTAAGCCCAATTTTTGCTTTAAGATCCATCAAGAAAATGACAGTTTGGCCATCATAGATCTGTGACTGGATAAAGCCCAAAGCACCCACTCTGCTGACCCCGCTTTGCGCAGGAGGTGGCACTAGAGACCTCCCGAAGTCACTTCCAGCCTGAATTATCCTCTGATCCTGTGATTTAAAGGGTCAGAATGGGTCTGTGGGAGTGTAGAAATGTTCCCTTCCTCTCAGAATTATCTTCTCAGACTGTGCTTTCATTTCCACAGGTCATATTTTCAGTAGAACAGACTTACGAGTTGATGCGATGCCTGGAAGACCTGACAGCGGGGAAGTCGGATAAGCAGAAATTCCAGGTAGCTCCTGTTTTGAAGGCAACTGGATAATGAATCTGTGGGGCTGAGAGGAGGGTTGGGGAAAGGAAGCTCTAAATCTATATTCCTACCTGGGGGCAGAAAAGAGGGAGAGCCCGAGTTCCCAAGGCTGGCACATGTTATTTTTAAAGGCCAGCCAGATGAGGCAGCATCAAGAGATATTGAAGTATACGCAAAACCAGTAGAGAACTTCCACTCCTCACTGTTCTGCTGATTTGGATTGGACTGTGATGTTTTTCCAAGATAAATAATTGCAAATTACATGGGCAATGAAAAGCTGAGATGCTGCCACCTAACAGCTCAAGCTGTGAAAAGTTCCAGGTGCAGAACTGAGAGTTTGCTCCCTGTGCAAAACCTCTGCAGCTGCCAGGAAAAGGCTGGGCAGCGCTGTCCTGCGTTGAGCTAAAAAGCAGGAGCTGTAGCTTTACTCTTCTCAGGAGGTCCCTAGAGCAGGTAAATACACATGGACTCTCCTCTTAGTGACCTGCAGCCTTACTTTCCAAAACTAAGAACCCATCACCAGCTAATTTCTGCATGTAGCAGTCTAACCCAAACTCTGCTCGCTTTTAGGATGATGACGTCGAGAATATCAAAGTGGAAATGCTGAGACTTGCTCTTGCACGAAACCTTGCACGAGTCATCGTCAAAGAAGGCACCTTGGAAGGATCTTGAAGACAGCAATATATGATTTTACTCATCCTCTGTGGCTTAACTGTACATAAACCTGTCTGCTTTTCTAAGAATAAATGTTTTGTTTTGCATATTGCTTGTTCTTGTCTTCCATAAATGTAACTAAAACAAAATGTGAAGGTAACTTGTAAGAAGGAGCTGCATCCAAACGTTCAGGAGCTTGTTCCATCGTGGTCTGGCAACCTTCCCCTGGTAGAGTCATTGCCAAGGGCAGCGTTACCTTGGCTTTTTCAGTTGCTTTACCTCTGACACCCAGGACTGAAATTAAACCTACCTTTTAAACCACTGGGGTTTTAGAAAACAGCAACTTCTCCTGGGTTTTTTTTTTTTTGCTTAGATTGGATGGTCTTGAGATGCTGGGTTGAGTTTTTGGATGTCAGGACACAGCCCAGCGCTGCACGAGCAGTAACGGCCATCCACGGAGCGGAGTAGGGAAAACAATTTATTTAACATGCAGCAGAACAAATGCATTTGAGATGTATGTACAGTTAGGGCTGTTCAGTATGAAGTGGGAACCTCACCCTACAGACAAGGAACGTTCAAGAGTTTTAATTTCCAAAGCTTTTAACAACACATTTCCACACAGCAAGGCTATGGCATCTTTCCATTTGGCTGTACGGCGCGGGCAGCGCTCTGCCGTTAACGCTGAGAACGAAGCTGTTCTGCAGAAAGCACTTGTGCTCTTCTGACCTCCTCAAAGTCACAGTGAGATGTGTAGGCATCTAAAGCAGTTACACCTGCTTCCTCAGGACACGCTACCGTGACCTAAGCACCACCCCCATGCCTACTGTGTCTAAAGTGCTGGCAGAAAGAATTCTCTCCTTGTCCCCTATCCCAGTCCATTGATTTAAAAACTGCTTTAAGGATCCAAACGACACACCCATCCCTCTCACCTGCCTTCTGCATCAGGGAGCTGACAAGGCTGAGGTCTTCGTGAGCTTCAGATCAAACCTTTACAGCAAGTTCCTTGGCCAAGCTTTGGTTCCACCTTCAGAGGCTTCTACAACTGCCTGGTGTCTCCTCTGATTGCGACCTCAGGCCTTTGAATCCACTGAGTTTTTCACCTCTAAGTGATTTTTTTTTTTACTTTGCAGCACAGTAAAGAAAATTCAGCTACAAATCACTCCAAGCTGTTTTTGCAGTAGTGGGTTTTACAGCTGCCAGTAATTCCAGCAGCACGTTCTTCTCCGGAGTTATCCTACAACGGGCAGGGCTCTCCTCCTGCCTACTGATGTTCTCAGCACTTGAGCCAACTGCTCCCACTCACAGTTTGGTAAGAGCTGCTGCTTGACAGCACTGCTAGAAACGCTGAGCTTGGTGTCCAAGGACCCACCCTATCTGTGCTTTTGTCAATGGATGTTTACAAAAAAAAACCCTGTTAATTTAAAACTGTCTCAAAGCTAGTTGAGGCACTGCTTGAGATTGGAAATCCAGAGGGAGAAGGAAGGGACTGCTGGAATCAAGTTTTGGTGATTTAAACCTCGTTTTTGTGAGACTGTAGCTAGAGGGGTCAGTTCTTCTGCCCCATTAGTGCAGAACAATGATGTCCAGCAAAACTGCTTTCCCCCTTGGGGAGACAATTGCACTCAGCCACTTAATACAGGGAACAAATAAAAACAGGGCATTAAACCCAGCACATGCATTGTCACAGCCCAGTGGGGTCTTCTTTCCTTTGACTGCTTGTTTCTATTTAGCAGAAATATCCTAGAGCTCTATTATTTACATCTTGTATTTCCTTGTTCTCATCTCAATAAAACACAGTATTCAACTACAATAATAATACTGCCTGCATAAGGGCACACGAGAGGCATCTCTCCTTATCCCTGGATTCAGTCACTGCACCTAATGAGCAACTGCAAAGACATTTCTGCACTCCAGGTGCTGTCCTCCACCCACACTGACCGCTCCTTTCCAGCCCTCTTTACCTCCTCACTAGGCATTTCCTCTTTTCCCCACACTATGGAATGCAATGAAGGCAGAAAAATAACCAGTGTAACCATTTCTGTACAAAACTCAGCCCCAGCTTACCCCAGATGGATACAAGAGGGAGGCAGCTTAGCAGTATAAAATAAATACAACAACTAAAGGTACAGCAGTGTCGCACAGCGGAGAGCCAGGGTCTGCTTACATCACTGGCCCTTGGGAATGAAGCAGCAGAGAGGAAGGAAAGGAGCTAAGTGCCATTTCAGTGTAAAAAAAAAACCCCAAGCATTCCCTCACGGAGCCAGCATTATTGCTCAACATGCTTAGCAGGTCTGGTCTGGCACTGAGGAGGTCAAAGTCTGAGGGAAGGGCATGTGTAAGGGCTCTGCACTGAGGAAGCTCATGGTGGCATCATCACCCCACCAGCCTGTAGGTATCTCCAGACAGCAGGACAGGAACAAGCCAACTAAATCCCCTTCTGCTGACAGGTCTCCCCTCAAAATACAATAACTTCAAGTTTAATAGAGTGGAAGATAGAACCAGATTCACCCAGAGGTCAAGATAAAAGCAGCCAGCACTACTTGTTCCTGGCTGCTGCTCAGTTCATGCTTGGCATAAACGTCCCAGGGCCCCTTCAATGTGGGGCAAAACATTCTGGACTAAAGCTACAAGCGGAGTGGTCAGGACATGTAAACAAAGCTGAACATCACCAGTGGATAGCATGTGTGTCCCTCCCCACGTCACATTCATTCCAGTCCTGTGGGATCCTTTCCTGGTCCTGTCACAGAGTCTCTGGCAGTGTCCTAAGGTCATAGATTCCCCCACTGCTCTACCGGGGGAAATTGATCCACTTCGCCAACCTCTGTGCTGGGCTGGTCTCCTAGTGTGAAGGTCAGTCTGTATCTCAGCCTCACTTTCTCCTGCAGGAAAAACAAAACCCAAGAGCAACGTGAGAACAGATCCCATACAAAACACTTCACTGTTACAGCTCTACAGAGAGAGCACAAGAATCTGTTGCACGTAGCAGGGGTAAGAAGGCCGAGGTAAGTTCACGGAGTAGTTCAGATATTTAGCAAACCCGAGTTATTTACCTTGCAGTTTTTATACCACAAAAGCTTTATGGCTTAGCATGGAACAGCAGGAGAAAAGCATGAATGACCTGGGATAACAGTTTGCACATACACGCCCAGCACCCATTACTCAGCTCTCTCCAGGGACCTGCTGGAATAGTTCAACATTTTCAAAATTAAATTCCTCATCATGTGGAGGAAGATAAGCCAGTTCCTGCTCTGCAAAATTCCTAGTAAAACCTCAAGCAGGAGGTGGAATGAGTCCTTCCATGAGGTCCACGTACCTCACAAAGCTTTTCAACAATCCACCAAATCCCTCTGACATTCATCCTTTTGGATCTCAAAGCTTTCAGCTGGTGCTTTAAGGACCCTTTTGCTGTAATTCCCAAGTAGGAACATCTAAATTTATCAAATAATTAGAAACTACTTCAGCATACAGCCTTGAGCTTCACGTAGCAAGCTCCTTAAATGAGTAACTACAGCAAGGAAAAACAGCTACTCAGGAAAGAAAGTGTTAAGCACGTTGTTTCCCTGGTCACAGGTACATCCTCAAAGAATAATGGAACAGACGTGATCTGACATTTGTCTGTGGGTTCAGGTCTGTCAGGCTACAGCCTCAACACAGCAGAAGTACTACAGCACCAGCTAATTTGACATCAGTCTAATTATCACCAAAGCCAGGCACTTCCAGTGCACAAGGGAACCACACAAACTCCTGATACAGCTCTGATGGGTTCCCTTTAAAGCTGAGCCTTCAATGGCCATTGCCCTTTTGTTGGGAGAACTGTACAGGTCCTTCTCATACCTGTCCTTGCTGACAAAGCCTGTTGGGAAAAAGCCTCCCTCCAGCCCCAAACTGGAACACCCACGTCATGCAGTAACCACCTCTGGAGGTGGAACAAACAGCTGTGTCTGCTCAAATGTTTGGTCCAACTGACCCCCTGTAAAATTCAGCTTACACCAAATTTGTCTGACAAGGACAGGATAAATCCCACTGCCCCTCTCACCTTCATAGGGTTTGCCAGGAGCATGACCTGGGTGATGGCAGCAGGCGGCTGGATGGGATTGAATGGAGACAGCTCAGTGCCAGAGGGTGGTTGTAACTTCACTTTCATGGACTGCAAGTGAAAAAGAAAGCAGAACCTCAGGGATTACCTCCTACCTTGGGGACAATGAAAGATGTATGCACAGGCTGGGGAGATAACAGCACACATCCAACCTGAAGAGACTCAATCCATACGTGAGGATGAGGAAACAAGAGCCCACCCAGCTTGTGCAACATGATAGGAACAGGCAGACTGACAAGTCAGTCCAGAGTAAAAGCACTGGTCAGGTGAACACCAACAACACCTTCCTGTTTGAGTGCTCGTGTCAGAGGTTTTCACGTGAACACCTTCATGAAGCTAGGCAGATGGTAGCTGAGATTGGGCCAGTTTTCAAAACACAAGCTGTCTGTCTAAAATTATCTAGCTGCAGTAAGACCAGAATGGAACATCTTGTCAGATTTAGGATGTCTGTTAGAAATTCTGATTCCCAAAGACCTCAGGAGTGGCTCTGTCCATGTTACAGTCCTGTCACTGTGTCATCTGAGCTACCTTCATGAACAGACACAGCTGGATTGATCTTGGATACCAAGAAAAGTAGAACACTAACTACTACCTGCAGTTCTTGATTTATCCTATTCAGTGTTTTCTACCTCTGACAACCATCTTTATGTTTGGGAAACAGGCAGAGCACAACCTATAGAAAGGCAGAACCAGGCTGTGCCAGGTCCCTGAGTTCATACCCAGGCCTTCCCGAAGGCAGTTTCACATCACCGTGGGTCTGAGCCCCGTGTCCCTACCTTGGGCACAGCAGCCTGCAGCACGATGTTCTTCACAGGAAGCGGTGCCGTGTTCAGCATGGAGACTACCACGACCAGCACGTCCGACCTGCCCGGCGGGCACTCCCTGGCAAAGTGCAAGAGGATGCGGAAGCCGTTCTTGTCATAGGCTGTCACCGGGAGGGCACTGCCTGCCGCAGGGAGAGAGGGGAGAGGAACACAGGTTTGTGCTGCAGAAGACAATCTGGAGCAGCAATAGGTGATCTGACTGTTTGGCTGGGGTATCTCATTCTTTCTCTCTACTTCAGAAGCTTTGTCAAGGGGCTTTGCTTTTAAAAAATGTTCAGAGAAAGGTGAAAAACCTCAACTACTTACTGGGTTTAATGGATTCCAAGGGAACATGGACGTTGGCCAAAGAAATTTCAGGTGCTTTCATGGGACTGCCTTGCTGCTGGAACGGTGCTGGCTGGAAGAGAGGACTTCCTGAGCCAGCAGTGGAGCTGCTTGGAAAAGGAACTGGAGGAGCTCCAGGGGCAGTGGCTGGCAGCCCTGCAGGTGCTATTAACGGGGCAGAGGTGACAGTGGTTGGTAAAGTAACCCCAGGGAAGACAGAGGGTGTTGCCATGCCTTGGGTGGCAGTCCTGGAAGAAAGAGAAAAAAAACATGGGAAATTGAGCTGAAAGTGAAGCAGGCAGCTCACCACCAACCCAGAGATAACAGCAGATCACAAGGACAAAGCAGTGGCCTGGAGCCAGATTAGAGTCCATGACTCATCACAGTCTCATGTAAGAAGAGGAGCTACAAGGAAAGTGGTGCTGGTAGGGTCAGGCATCACTTCTCTAAGTCAAGAAGAAAGCAGAGTCCCACCCTAGCCACCAAGGCTAAGATGGGGAAAGGCCTCTGTACCATAGCAGTCAGTTCAACTTTACACCACATGTTTGTACCAGGCAACAGTACAGCTGTTGTGCTCTATCCAGTAGTGCCTTTCCCTCCTGGAGGTGGGACCCTCGTATTAGTTTGTAAATGGAAACTCTCTAAGGAGAAAAATCCCAATCACACGTTTCTACCAAACCAGAGAGCTGGTCAGTCTGCCTCTGAACCTGACGCTGCAGCAAGCTTGGCTTTCTAACTGCAGAGACAAAGGACTTTTAGTTACCCTTTGGCTTCTTCAAGGAGTTGTCCCAATGCATCCATCTTATGTGACATATTGCTCCCCACAGATGAGTTGAAATACCCAGGAGCGGCTGGAATAGTCTTAGGAGGCCCTGCAGGGACAGGTGGTCCAGCAGAGAATACAAATGGTGCTGAGTTTGGTGCTGGGATGCTGGGAGCAGTCTGAGAGGCTGTGAAAGCAGAGGGCAGTGTCACTGATGTTCCACCTGTGGTCTGTGATGTATGAGGGAGAAGAGGGTTCCCTGCAGGGTTGCAAGCAACAGTCACCGTCTTCGGATTAAAGAAATCCAGGTCCAGCTGGTCATTCTGAAAGAGAGGACAAGCAGATGCTCTAAGTCACTGCTACCCCCTGTTGTAGAGATGGCACTGTTACAGAGGGAGAGAGATTTACCGCAAAAACAGGTGCTGGGTGGCAAGCAGCAAAGTCTGTGGCCTATGTCAGGACTACATCTGATCTGTAATTTAAGCAAAGGAAGTGCTGACATCATGGGGGACAGATGGGAAACTAAGAAAGCCAGGTTCAGGGATATCTACGCTGTTTAGACACAGCCATCCCAGATTTTAGGGCTAAGCCAGACTTCCCCTCAGGAACAGCTGCCCCTCTGCCTGTTTGTGTGACCACGTTTCTCAAAGGTGACAGAGTGTGTCCTGAGACCTCCCATAATGACAATCCCTCCCTCCCCTTCCTGCGAGACCCTCCTTTGTACCTCAAATATGCTCCACTGGTTGTTTTCTGAGGTCTCCTTCACTGCTGCAGGGGCTGGGTCATTCAGGCCTGAAAGGAAAAATAACAAGCAGGTAACGGGAGGAGAAAATTATTTAAGTGTCACCCCTTAGCAGTTGTTTCAGTATCATCAAACTATTTGATTCAGCTCTGCCAGAGCCCAAGAACCTGATGAAAGAATGAAATGTGAGGGTAGTCACACACTGGAACAGGTTGCCCAAGGAAGTTGTGGCTGCTCCTCCCTGGAAGTGTTGAAGGCCAGGCTGGATGAGGCTTTGAGCAACCTGGTCTAGTGGAAGGTGTCCCTGCTGCTGGCAGGGGGGTTGGAACTGGATGAGTTTTAAGGTCCCTTCCAGCCCAAACCAGTCTGGGATTCTATGATTCTATGAAATGGGCTGCAAGTCTACCATGAGGAGAAGAGACCGGACAAGCACCAGTAGCTGACAGTCACCACCTGCACACAGCTCTTCTAACCCTCTGGATGAGCAGTATCTCTGTGGTTTGTATCTGGGCTGCACAGGCAGGCGTTCTGCAGGCTCTTATATGCACCCCCTCTAAGGCACTTTGCTCTTTAGCACAGTTGCAAAATTAGAGTGAAATCTGTACCAAACTGCGTGTCCAAGCCCCTACAGAGATCAGACTGCAATTACACTCAACTGCTGTTTCACTTGCAGCCTACTCTGGGAAGATCAGAGCTCTTAATACTGACTCACTGACCAAGTCTTATACTCGGGATGATGCAAGGGTGGCGTCCCCTGGACTCCTCTAGAAACCAAGGGCATCTCATGCTCCTTTTAGGCATGCCGCATACACAGCCAACCCTCACACTCACACTGAAGAAAGGAAGCAGTCTTTGTTAGGGATTGAGTAGCCTTTTCTGGGCCCTTCAGTGTCTTACCTAAGCACAGAAGCTCCTCATCCAGCAAGGAGAGGGAGTTGGCTGCGCTGCTCTGCTGAGCGGGTGCGGCTTCCACTTGGCTGGAGGAACTGCTCCGCAACTGTGCCAGCGTCTGGGGAGGAGGTGGGAGAATGGGGATTTCTGCTGGGGCTGGGGCTGCTGTGGGGGCTGGAGTCAGGGTGGTGGGTGGCATTGGAGTTGGTGGGGTGCTGGTGACATCCAATCCAGCAAGGTCAATGAGGGTGTTGAGATTACTTGTGGAGTTACTCCCTGCAGCAGACAGGAGAAGAGCACGACTAGGAAAGAAGGCAAAAGGCTCAGAGCAAACTCAATGTACAGAAGAAATTATCAGAGAGATGGTTTAGATAACACAGATCCTCATTTAATAATTTATAACATACATAACATTTAATAATTTATAACATATATAATAATTTATCACATGTATAACGTATCTTTATAACAGAGAAAGCCCACATGCTTCCCACCTAACCATTTGCTGTCCACAAGCTACTTCAATCAATTCAGTTCCTTAGGAAATTTCTATCTGAAAAGCAACATCTGCTCCAATCACTGCTTTCCCAAGTGCTTCTTGTAGCATAATGCAGAGTCTTTTAAAAATATTTTGAGCTCAGATGAAGCTTTAGGAGATCCTGCAGAATTACAATAACAAAGGCTACCAGAGAGCTGAGGAAAATGAATACTGTCTTGATCTAGAATTCCCTTCATATTTAGGACAGTCTTGTCCCAGTAAGATGCTGTCAGGCAGCATTATGCCTCCCTCTACTGCTCTCCATGGAGAAATGTGTAAATGATTCCCAAATGGTAATTCTGTCACACACACATCCAGAGCTTTCAATGGTGAAACTGAAGTGGAAAGTGGGTGACTGGCCTAAATTCACAAATGGAATTGCTGGCAAAGCCAGGACCCCTGGCCTGGCTCCCACTCTCCTGCTACTGTCCTTTTGATAAAATCATCCTCTTCTCACATGTCCCTGTTAAGAAACAGGACAAACGTGGAGAGGAAAATGTATGAGAACTTCCAGCCACACCAAGTGTTCCGATACAGGTTTGCTACTGATGTTATCAAAGGTGTCAATCATATGGAATGAACAAGGGAAAATGCAAAGCTGCAGCACTGTTACTCATGTCCAGAATTGTTTATCCACTGCTTAGGAGCTGTTTTGTTCCCCCTCTGATTCATAAACTGTTGGCCACAAGAACCACCAATAGCCTACTTCACCACAGCTAATAGGAAACCCCATCCAAAAGACTTAGTATTGCAGGATTCAAAATTCAACAGTTGGTTTTCCAGGAACTCACCTTCTACTACAGACATCACAGGGAGATCCACTTCACCATTGATCACTTGGCCCTCTATTATTTTTTTATATGAATTTATCACACGGGATAAATTGTCACTGGCTTGTAGAATATCCCCTACATGCAAGAGAGACAAAAACAACCTCCAAGACTTTAGTAACTCTGCTCCCACTAATGCTGAGAGTACTCAGTTATCAACTAAATAACCAGCAAGAAAAAACAGATTTATGTGGCTATGAGCTCCATTACTCTCTGCCTTTGCCATTCTTCTCTAAGCAACACCCTGACCTTTCTAGATCCATGCACTTTACAGCAATAATGAAAAAATGAGTCCAAGGCTTTGTTTCCCACAGTAACTTTCCTGCCCTTCCAAAGCAGCAGCTGTCCCCCATTATCACCCCCAGCCTCCCTAACCACCAACTCTACTGTCAAGTCCTTGCCTGAATTTAAATGAGAAGCATAAAGAGGCCAGTCTCTTATCTGCTTGCTCAAAGCAAAGTGCATTCACAGTGAAGAGGCATCTTTACAGCAGCCTTCCCTTGCTCAACCCTTGCACAATCACAGGTCACAAAAGCAATTAAAAGACTTGTAGCTTTACCCAAACTGCTGTCGTTATCCTCCGTCTCACTGGCCAGCTTGAATAATGTCCTTCTTTTGGTTTCACACCTTTCGTAGAGCTCCTAGGAAGACAGATTAGGACAAAGGGTTTCATCAGCCAGGATCCACTGTCAACA